TCGTTTGAATCTCGCGCCGAGAATCTAGTGATAAAAAGAGACAGACATACTACCGTTATATGTGATTTTCATGAATGTACTTAAGGAAGTCTGTTCGGAAATTGAAATCGATTATAAATTCGTCTTTATGATGAAGCTCTTTAATGAGTCTTCGATAATTCGTATTAATGATTCAATTAATAATACTAATAATATCTTCGATAAATCTTTATGTATCAGACGTGTAATTGCAATATTATTTCAATTGTTTAATTATAATTGCGTATAGGCATCTCAAGAGTAGACATAGATGCAATAATTGATCGTAGTAGATCGTAATAAAGAGATAGTAAATGTAGTAGAATATCGTTGCGAATCACGAGAGTAAAGAAGTATGTAAAATAAAAGAAATAGGTACTTACCAATGAGTACTGCAGAGTGAAGTTGAAGATCTCCAGGGAGGACAGTCTACCTCGGTGACGTCGCTGTAGGAGAGTTGAAGGAGCCGGTGATGAATGACTGGCAGAAGACTCAAGTGATGATAAAATAAAACTTTAATATACTTTGTTCCAAGTACAAAGATTTGACAGTTCTCGGACTAAGTCCTTTTCGGCTCAAAAATAAATACTCGTGACTGCGTGAAGGTTATACGTTGAAAGAACTGAGAGTCAAATGCGAATTTAATAATATAAGAGAACCGTGAGTCAAATGCTCACGTGTGTGGATTTAAGAGAACTAAGAGTCAAATCGAGTCAAATGCGAAGAGAGTCGCTCTGCATGGGTTTTTATAACGGGATTCCTACTTTTTGGGCAATTGTCGCAGAGTGGGAGCAGGTTCCTTTTCGCAGGGCGGAGTCTCTGATGATTGGTTCCCCTCTTAAAATTGGATGCGTGCGCAGCTTTTCATCGGTAGAAGGGTGATGCGTGCGCAATTTTGCGTAGGCGTTTGAACGATGATTGCGTCCCCGTTTTTGGGTCTTGAGGTGGTGGGGGAAGTAGAGTAGCCAATCAGGAAGTAGCAAAAATTCTGATGCAACCGGATGCGGTGAGTCATCGATGAGTCACTTTTGGCAACAATTCTTCTGATACTTGATATTTTTCTTGAAGGTTATTAGTGACATTCGATATTTTTTCGTATAATTTATGTGACAGGTGTCCTTCGATTACAATAGATTTGCGTCGCCAAATTATCGCATCGGCTTATCTTTAAATTATTATAAATTATTTAACTGATGAGCTCATGGTCGAATCTTTGTTATAAACAATATGAATATGCGTATTTAGTAACGCATATATAGTATATGTAGACGGCTAAATAAAAGTATCTATAGTATGTGTACGTATAAGAAATATGTTTTACCAACAAGACTTCAAAATTTGTAAGAATAATGGAATTTAACATTTGGACCTCCCTGTAGATTAGGGAGTCGAAAATATATGGAATTATGTAAAAACATGTGTAAATATTCGGCTGTGGTCCTCAAAATTTGGGTTTAAAGATTTATAATGTATCAGGATAGTATATTCTCGTAAGAGGTATACGTCGGTAAGTCGGTAAGTTAGTATGTCGGTAACTTCTGAATTTAAACAAAATTAAAGTATTAGGATAGCATGTATATGAAAGAGGCATGCTCCTAGTGAAAGAATATATATAAATATATATATATGTTTGTTGGTTAATATCTTTAAAATTAAAGTTTTAAAATTTTAAAGTATCAGGGTAGCATATTCATAAAAGAGGTATGCTCTTGGTAGAACGTCGGTAACTGGTAGGTCGGTAAGTCGTTGGGTTGGTAAGTTATCATAAGTCGGTAAGGTAGTAAGGTGTCGGTAACAAAAAGTCGGTATGTTACCATAGGTAGGTAAGGTAGAAAAGTGTCGGTAACAAAAAGTCGGTAAAGTAGAAATCTGTTTTATCATCAGTCGGTAAGGTAGGAATTTCCTATATTATCATTTATCCTTGGTCGGTAAAGTAGGAATTGACTTTACCATCCCATGTAGAAAGGGTTGAAGTCTTGCAGGCTCTTTAAAAGTATAAGAGGTTACTATTCTGTAGGCGCTGCTTATACTGTATTAAAGGTATAAGTTTTTAGGCGTTTGTATATACGATCAACGTTATATAGGCGCATTGAGAGTAAATAGTGTTGAAGTTTTATAGGCGCGTTTCATCTCTTAAGCCATGCAGGCTTATTACAATTTATATTTTATGAAAAATAAGGCAAGAAGATCAATGTGCTATTTACTATAGAGTTTTAATATGAATTTAAAGAATCTTTTGCACATGTAATGTGGGTTCATTATATAGAATAATTAAATATAACTGAGTTTTCTTTATATAAAGAGTGAATGAAGTATTTTTAGAAATATTCTCTTTGTATGAATAATACAGCATTTTGATCTTCTATAATTTTATATTATTATTCGATTATATAATAGCAAAAAACTAACTCGAGAGAGTATATAAGTAGTAATGTAATGTGATTATATATTGATTATATATTTAAAATAAATTTTTGTAGCGGGACGTAACACCTCCCCCCGAAAAAAAAGACAAAATCCGATATTTTTGAAGGATTTTGGTCAGGGAGTTTTAATCGGTTTCCTCTATAGTACTCAAGCGGTCTCTTAACGTAGAATATTGAGAGTTAATATTTACGTTTTCTGGATCCGGATGGCAAGGTTTCGTTTTCCTTGGCGGTTTAGATGGTGGGGGTTGTTGAGTAATAACTTCTGGAGGTGCTGTTGGTTCCCCGTCAGTGACTGGTTCACAGTGATTTCCAAGTCTCTTCTTCTTCTTCTCGGGTTCACGAGCAAGATGAAGTAGTAGATTTGCAAGGGAGCTCCATAGTGCTCCGAATAAGTGTAGGCTGCATCCATAGACCATGTGTAAGGCGTATCCATGGATGATCATGTCAATGATTAATTTGACAAGACGGATGATCATGAAGATTCCTACGAGTCCAGCGGTTGCCGAACCAAAATTGATGAATCCCTGCCATATGCGGGATGCTGTACTCTCGACAATTTTATTCAGAGAGTCTTCGTCTAGTAAATTATATACGGATATTCCTTCAGTGTTCATGGAATGTCCGGTGAGTCCTCGAGCTACTGCATTGAGCAGTGCAGGTTTCTCTGCTGGAAACATGATATGGTTTCGCAGTTTTTCTAAATCACTAGCAGAATAGATTCCGCTTACTGCTAGCGGTCCTGGAGTAAGGTATCTCCATGTTAAGGCTGCCATAGGCTTCAATTGCTGGGGAGGCAGTTGTCTCACTTGTATAGCAGGTGTAAGTTGGATCCATGTATCCTCAATTCTATACAAGGTCGGTAATTCATTACTGCACTCCTTTTCATTACCTATTTTGGTAATTATTCTTGATTTAGGTGTAAGAAAATAAGAATTATTGTGAACTGTAACGGGAAGTTCCGTGTAACATCTGTCGGTTCTTCTTACAGTGACTTCCACTGGAACACACTTGATTATTTGTACGGCTTCTCCAGTGGTAACTGCCATGTAACCAGGTCCTTTCATTAGACGGTAGGCAAATTCCTCTGGTTGTGTAGTAGCGAAGGACAAGGCATTAGTGATTACTTGTCTTTCGAGAACGCATTTTTGCTGTATCACATTGTGATATAGAGAAGTCATTTGCTGTTTAATATGTTTCTCTATGTATACGAATTTTGAATTCATATACGTGAAGATGTCGAGATTATTTACTGGAATAGTTCCTCGACTGACAAAGGTATCACCTTTATTTGCTTCTAAAATGAAAAGCTTTGGGTGTTCAGTACACAAGAGAGTATATCCACATAATGGTAATTCTTTCGTCTTCATGAGAGCGAAAGTAATTTCCTGAGTTACCAAGCTATAAATAGTTGGTGTTGCTGTAGTGGAATGATTTTCGGCGATTTTAGTAGCTGGTCCTTCGTAGAGGACGTCATACTGATGAAAATTGCAGGAAGTTGTGGGTATGGATTTCCAATAAGAATATCCATTATCAGCATCTAAACAAAAGGTATCAGCGAGATCGCAGACTGTGCCAGATTTTAATCTGATTTTTCCAGTATTCAATTGCACAGGTACGTATGAAGATCTCAGTGATATTTTGGCAACTGCTTGAACGACGACGTCGTCCCAAGTTCCAAAAGGGTCGGAATATTGCGTTCCCTTACAATATCCGTCTACTTGTATTCGTCCAGCCATAGTAATACTACGGTAGGTCGTTTGATTAGCCTTTAATCCTGTGACGAGATGATGATCTCCTAAGGTAATGGTTCCATCTTGAAACATTCTCAAGCATTGAGAATAATCGGTTTCGTGTACATAATCGGCCTTTCCGTTATGAACAATAGAAATGTGCGAATGCATTCCGCAATGGTAAATGCTTCTTGATATTTCAACTTTACATTGAATAACTTCTGTGTAGCTGTAGTCAGATAATTGCAATAATTGTATATAGACTTCGGTGGTGTTGGGGGTGCTTATGTCTAAGTCGCATTCTCCAACATCAAGTAATGAGACAGCTGTGATATTGAGGTGTTGTCCGCCACAATCAAATCCAATTAGGCCAGACGCTTCGCTTATTATGATTAATAAGAGTAAGGTCGTCATGGTCTGAAATAATTATGTGTAAGTAATATAATTATATATATATTCTATTTTGTTACATGAGATTATAATAATGATTGTGGTGATAACATAATATTTTATATCAACTAACGATTACATTTTCCTTTCTTTTTTCGTTATGTATGCTTTGAGGATACACATATATATATTTTGTATATAAGAGAGTGGATTATTTCAAAATATCCATTAACATGTATTCATTTTATATATGCTTGTATGTATATTTGTAAGTATATAGAAGATATATGTTTTCATATTTTTTCAGTAATATTTTTATAATAACTTATTATTGTTTTTTTTTTATTTTATGTTTGTTCAATATATATATATGTATATATATATGTATGTATGAATATCTGTAAAATATCGCAAAATTATTTGTTGTAGAGAATCAAGAATCTAATATCGTTAAGAATTCATTTGGATCGATTGGTTCAGTTCTTGTTTCTCTCAATCCATATTCTACTTCTAAAGTAATAGGATTTATGGATATGCCGATCAATCGTTCAAAAGTACTTTCGTTTTTCATTGCTACAAATATAAATCGATAATAAGCACGCAAGCACTCTTGGCATTCTACGATTGGTCGACTAGTGCAGCATGGTTTACCGCACGTTTGACACCGTTGAATAGGCACATTGCCATATTGAAAGGTGTGTACAGATCGAGTTAAGACTCTGTTATAAGCTTTAGGTTTGTAACAATTAGAACAAATAATATAAGGTGATGAAGAATAAAGAACGTCATGAGTTGTAATGATTATACATTTTACGAGAAGACTATTATAAAATGAGTCTCGTAAAATAGGATGTATAGTAGATCTCTGTTTATAAGGAGGGCACATTTTTGCCGTTTATGCGTATATTCCCTTTTTATGTGTACTGCAGAAGGCAAATACACCTAATTGATTTATATCCCGTCCATGTTTTAGTTCATATAATGTTCTTTCGAAATATGTAAATGTACATTCTTTGCATTCCAAGAGAGGACGAGTTTCATCTAAATCAGATCCGCAAAATTCACATTTAGCAAATACTATATTGCCAGATGTCATCCAATGACATACCACAAGTTCATGATTGCTTCTAATTTGGCGTAATTTAGAACAGTTACAACACATTCGAGTATAAGGTTTATCCCAATTTCCTGGTTTTTTGTAAAACATAACCTTTTTACATTCGTAACTACATATGTTTGGACAGTGTTGTAAAATTCGGTGGATCGGATGTTCACAAGAAATGTTTTCAAGATTTGAATTATTCATTATGACGGTTACGTGAGAGTTCTTGCTCTCTCTCTTCTTCAAGGTAAAACAAAAAGCATTTTTGACAATCTATCAAGGGAGTTCTTTGCGCTATAGGAGTAGCACATAAGTAACATTTAAGTGGAGGAGGATGAGGTGGATCGTGTGATATAACGTGATATTTAACAGGATAGTCTTTCGTTGATGCGTGCGTCACGCATACGGGGCAATAGTATTCACCTTTGCATATATAACCATCGAGTTCTTCATGCATTATTTTATGAAGAGGGTCCATCCCTTTTAATTGTTAGGGGAGTCAAAGAAGTAAGCCCACTAAAGTATCTAATACAAATATTACAGTCTGTTATGGGTCTCTGAATAGTCATGGGGTTTCGACAACGACTACATATGGTAGGGAGCGTGTGAGGGGCAATACTTATAGTATGCTGATCTAATGGTAAAAAGTGTCTTTGAAGAAGAGGGTGATAAATAATAGTATAGCAAGTACAACAGTAATAGTTGCGAGTAAGCAAATGGAGATATCCATGTAATTTAATGCATAAAGGGGTAGAAGTAGACTGAGACATGCTAGAGTAATCTAATTCATGTTAAAAGTTAGAAAATCAATAATATCTCTGAGACATGTAGAGCATTGATAGAGCGGTGTTAACACAGTAATAGATTGAAGACAGTTAACACAAAGTAATTCGGAACGATGTGGTTCTAGAGAAATAAAGTGAGAGAAAATAAAAGAAAATTGCATTTGCAATATAGGAGGTTGAATGCTTTGATAACACGTTTCGCATAAATAACAATTTAAAACAAAGTCTCGATATCCTGTGATTTTAACGCAATAAACTGATTCATCAGAGGACATACCCTCGTTACGATGAATTTAGAGGAAAACTCTATTAACTACATTTAATAGTAGCGGATATTCACATTCGTCTACATGAGTCGATGTGTTGTGAAGAGTTCTGAGGAAGCTGCGTGCTGTTAAAGCACAAGGGATACACTCACTAATTGGTCGAATTCGTATCACTGTTGCGTTGCACTTTAAACAGAATTCGTCTCTGACGGTATGACTGTTTACGAAGAAATGTGTGCGCATTGATCGGTATCGTTCATGAATGAGTGAGGTACGAATCCTTGAATAGCACTTGTGACATAAGTTGTTGTCGTCATCGAGGCATATAGCTCCTTTTGTGCAGTGTGCAAATAAGAAGGATTGCTGCACAAGGTTTAATATTGCTGAATCCGGGGCTGCTGTAGCCAAGGCCGGCTGTGCTGGCTTTTTATGCCAGTGCATCTGTAACAAAAAATTTAAGATTAGTGCTTCATCCTGGTTGGATATGAGATATCTTTATCTTATCTGTGTGAACAATTCGTGTTCGATTTCCAATGCGAAGCTTAATATTGCTTAGAGGTAATAATTCTATTACTTCATAAGGTCCAGTGTATTGTTCAGTGAATTTCCCCTTTCGTGATTCTTTAAGAAGAAATACGTGCATTCCTGTTTTAATTTGTAGAGGGTTTAATCTCCGATCATAATATTGTTTGCTCCTTTCTTTTGCTTGTATAAGATTTTGTCGCGCTTTTGTTTGCACATCTTTTAATTTATTAAACAAAGTAGTAAGGTAATCATGATACGTTGGTTCAATATTTTCTTCTATAATAGGATGAGAAGAAGGTAGTCGAGCTATGCGACCGAAAACTAATTCGTACGGTGAATATTTTGTTCCTTCATGTACGCTGGTATTATATGAAAACATAGCAAGTTTTAAATATTCATCCCAATTATCTTCCGTATCTATTTGAGTCTTTAAATATTCTGTTAATACATGATGTGAACGTTCTAAAGATCCGTTCGATTGAGGATGATATGCTGTAGTTTTAAAATGTTGAATATTAAATCTCTTTGTTAATTGTCGCATTAAAGCGAATAAAAAGTTGGTACCTTGATCAGTTAAAATAGCGCGAGGTGCACCATAAATACAAATAAATTCTTTAGTAAAAAGCGTCAGCGATAGTTAAAGATGTAGCTTCTTTTAAAGGTACTGCAACTGAATATTTGGTTAATAAATCTTGCATTGTTAATATGTACTGATTATTATTATTAGTTATAGGAAGTGGTCCCATAATATCTAAAGAAATTTTATCGAATGCATTTCCAGGAGTATCGGTAATAACCATAGGTTGTTTTGTTTTCACTCTTGTTAACTTCTTTAATTGACAATCGCGGCAAGTGCGAAAAGTTCTTGAATATCTTGTTTCATGGTTTTCCAAAAATAATGTGGTCTAATGCGATTATAAGTCTTGTAACGCCTTTGTGTCCACCGTGGGGCTGAGGCGTGATTTTCCAAAATTAATGATTGCCGTTTCTCAATATCAGGTGTTTGAGTTAAATTCAGACAAATAGTTACGTCGATAGACATTTCTTGTAAATGTTTTTTTGATTTGATTAAATATGTAAGACCATGGTAAATCGTCGAAGTAATATGTTTTACTGATACTTATGGAAGAAAGTCCGAGTTCTCTGACAACATCTACGAGAGAACATAAACAATTTTTTAATGTTTGCACTTCTATTCGAATGCGATCATTATATTTATTGGTAAAGCGATTAATGTATTAGACCTTACAGTATTTACTCTGGCTCTTTCGTAAGTTAAGCCTTCGTATTTAGGGAGTAAATTTGCCTCTTGGTATAATTTAGCACCATTATCATAAGGTGTTCCATTTAAATATATAAATATCACATGATTATCTTTTTGTTTTAATAGATTATCTCGAGTCTCTCGTATTCGAGCTGTACTCCAAGGAGGAGGAGTGTGGTGTGCTTGTCCATAAGGCACAATATTAGAATCAAATATGTCAGCATAATCTACATCAGAGTGCGTTGAGGTTGCTCTGTCTTGACTATCTTCTGAGTCTGGAACTTCTTCAATGGTAACTTCTCGATTGCTGTAGTTACTTATATTTTCGTATTCGGAAGGACGATCCCTTTCCGGCGGTTCAATTGAGCTAGAGATTTTGTAGGTATCTGACCAGTATCCGTGATTCGTTTCCTGCGAGGAATTTGTGGTCGATGTGAGAATATTGATTCGTCTGAAGAATGATTTCCTTCCTCTTCTACTGCGAATACAGGGATAGCAATATTAATAGGCGGATTCCTTGATAAAGCGTCAGCGTTATTATTTAAAGTTCCCTTTTTATATCGTATTTCGTATTGATATTCAGATAATTTAGTTCTCCATTTCCATAATCTAGAAGAAGGGTCTTTAATAGAATGCAACCATACTAATGGTTTGTGATCTGTTACTATAGTGAAGATTTTTCCATATAAATATGGTCTAAAATGAGTTACACAGTAGACATAGCTAAACATTCCTTTTCTATTGTTGAATATTTTTGTTCTGCAGAGTTTAATACACGTGACGTGTAAGCGACGGGTAATCTTTCCCTATTATTCCTTGACTGAGTACGCCTCCGACGGCATATCCGGATGCGTCAGTGGTCAATACAAAAGGTTTAGAAAAATCTGGATATTGCAGAATAGGTTCTGAGCATAATGAATTTCTCAGAATATCAAAAGCTTCAGTTTGTTTTTCTGTCCATTCGAATTTTTTATCTTTCTTTAAAAGATCAGTTAATGGTTTTGCGATTTTAGAGAAATTAGGAATAAATCTCCGGTAATATCCAGCTAATCCCAAAAATTGTTTAATATTCTTTGGGTTCTTTGGAATTGGAAAATTCATTACAGCTTTTACTTTAGCAGGATCGGGTCGAACTCCGTCGGATCCGATAATGTGTCCTAGATACATGACTTCGTTTCTTAAGAATTCGCATTTATCTGGCTGTAATTTTAAATTTGCAGTTCTTAATCTCTGCATTAATCTTTCAAATTTAATCTCGTGTTCTCTTAAAAGATCTTGCGTATATGACGATGTCGTCCATATAAACAAATAATTCGTTCCCTTGAAGTCCTGAAAGAACTTGTCCATTAGTCTCTGGAACGTTGCAGGCGCGTTTATAATCCAAATGGCATTCGCTTGAATTGATAGTGTCCATAAGGTGTGGAGAAAGCAGTTTTGTGAGCGTCTTTAGATTGCCATAGGTATTTGGTGAAAACCGGATGC